TCTTACCCTCCCTCCTTCCTTTTTGCACCTCGGTCTCTTCCCTTCATGAAAAAAGGAAGAAAAGGAGGGTTGAAGCGTTTCTGATAGGAGACTGGACTGCTCCTGGCAGGGAAGGAAGAAAGAGAGAAGGAGAAAGGCTGGCTGGCTGCTCAGCCCATCTCCTCCCCACAGTGGAGTGCCCACCAGCCAGCCTTTTCCTTGATGCCAGTCACATGGTGGATCCATTGGCGGGAGGAGGATGTGGGGGGCCTTTGTAGACTCACCCTTAGGATATTGTGACCCCCTGGAGGTCTGTGGACCACAGACACAATACAGAAAAGCATCAAGAAACTACATGAATTAAAATGTGCAATAATAAAAGTTACTTAAGGAAGAATTTTCATTTAGCTGATTTTATCTTAACTAGTCTTTGTTTAAATGTTTTTATGGGCTTTATTTGGATTTTATCAAAGGTTTTTATTGATGTGTTCTTGCAGCCATCTGCGTAGATTAATTAGATTGCTTTCATGGAATTGCTATTTTATGATTGTTGTATTATAATTTAAAATCATATTTTTCTCAGCTAATTGAACACCCCCTTGTGAAGGCTGCCCTTTAAAAGTGTGAGATACATCTTAAGATAAATAAATAAATTTGACAGTATTTTTGAATAATTTTCAATTGAGGCTTCAGCCTTAAACAGAAGTTTGTGCAGATAAATACTATTCAGGTAACTCTTCATAGATATTTAAGTCTGAGTGCTGCTATTGAATGTAACTGTTATATAACTTTGCTATTCACCATTTCTGGAGCATAAAGAGTGGGGAAGAGGTGCGTTTCCAACCCCCACAGTACCTCTAGAGCCAACATTGCAAAATTTAAACCATCTGTTTTGCTCTGGAAACTACACGCAAACTGGAAAGAAAGGGCAGTCTGTATGTGTAGTTCCCTTGTGTCGATGTGCTCAGCTCTTTTGGAATAAAGCCAGGGCCTGGGGAGATTTTGGTTCACCTTTCCCTTATAAATCAGGATTAATTCCACTGAAGTGTCAAATGGAAAAGAAGTAGCCCACAGACTGCACTATTTGCATCATCATTTACAGTTCAGTCTCTGTCTGCATTTAGCATATTTTGAACTGCATTCAAACCAAGGGCATGTTCCCATCCATAGTCATGCAGTGTCACCAGAGGTGCTGTTAGATGTGCCAGCAGAGGCCAAAATGAAACTTGCAACTTTGTCTGGTTTAATTAACCCTTCAGTTTATGAGTGTCCCCCTGGTACTAATGATTGCCCTGCCCTGTTCTTGTTTCTATGTATTATGGTGGAGGACTTCACTTTTCCTACCTTGACATGGAGCGGGAAGTTATTATTTGTCTGTAACAGAGATGGATTCTGTGTTCTCACAGACCTAGATGGATGCTGTGTTTGGCATTTCTTAGGGCAATTGGTATCAGGTAGATCTATGAAGCATGCTGTAAAGGCCTTATGTAGGTGCAGTTGGATGCTGATGGTGGTACTGCTAGTAATGGCATCTTTCACATGCCAGGACTGATAGGTATGGCCATAAAGCATAGCTTCAGAACATTTGGTCTTCCAGATGTTTTAAACTATAGTTCCCAGCATTCGCAGCTATCATGGCTAGTGGTAAGGGATAGTGCTGGCTACTGGCTCTAACATCAGTGGGAAAGTCTACCCCTGGTTTTACTGAGTTTTAAAGGGGCTACCCAAGATGCTGAACTCTATCCCCAGAATAGGTTCAGTACTTTGGACACATTAATTTGGATTAAAACTTGGAGCAAATTCTGTATACCACTGACTTTGGAGTTATTGGGCATCTCCGGGAGAGGATTAGGAGAGCTGTACACCTAAGTAACTGTAGGAACCAAAGGTGTGTGTAAGGTTTGTCCTATAGTGTTATACAGTAGTTTGCTACAACATCCTGAGTGAACACTCACCTTCCTGAAGCACAATACTGAACAACCATGAGGAGACAATACTGATGTACTCAACCATCATTTGTGAACTGTGCAAAGTCTTATCACATTCTTGTGTTGTCTGGTGAAAAAAAGTTAAAAGAGGCAATTGTAACATCTTGGAAAATGTGGCCCACTGCCTATGGGATTGACCCGTAAGTTAAGTCTCACCGAGTTTGGTTCTATGCCCAGGAAAATGCATACAGGATTTTTTGATTGTATCTCAGCCATGTGGTGCTACACAGACATTGCAGTGACAATGTGGGGGTGGAATCACATAATGTGTATGTTGTATGTGCCACCTCAAATTATATATCCATGGGATAGCAAACTACTTACAGTCAGCCCTCATCTGTCACTTCACACTCTCAAGAAGGGGAAAACTGGAGGTAGAGAAACCGACTTCAGAGCTGCGTGTTGCTTAAAAAGGATTCACAATTTTATTTGCAGAAAAGCAGAAAGCTGTATGTGCATGCCCAGGTGCCTCAGAATGTGGGACAAAGCAGCTTGGTTTGGGGGCAGAGATATAGGCCAGAAGGAGTTTCTTATCAGTAACCATCCTGATCTTTTGTGCAGACCCAGCAGGGCCAAACTCTAATCTTTAGGGGAAACTAGCACTTTCTTGGACTGCTGAGTCAGTAAGGGAGGGGGATGTCCAGTGAGTATCCCTTTGTCTATGTGACAAAGGCTCCTCTCCAGATAATGGAGGGCAAAGTCCCATTTTGGAAACTTAACTTTGGCTCTCATATCCACAGATTTTTTTATCCATGGATTCAAACATCCACGGCTTGAAAATATTTTTTAAAAAGTATACATTCCAAATACCAAAACTTGATTTTGCCAATTTATATAAGGGACACCATTTTGTTATGCCATTAT